CAGCTCGGGGACTCCCTTGGGGTGGTTGTGAGGGCTGGGTCCCGCCGAGATCGTCCGGGGGGACCTGGGCAGGGTGGAGAGGTGGGCCCGTGCGCGCTTCGTGGGTTCAGCAAGGCCTCGTGCAAGGCCCTGCACCTGGGTCAGGGCAATCTCAAGCACAGACACAGGCTGGGCGATGAGTGGATCTAGAGCAGCCCTGCGGAGAGGGACTTGGGGTGCTGGTGGGTGGAAAACTGAACATGACCCAGCAATGTGCGCTTGGAGTCCAGAAAGCCAATCACAATCTGGGGTGCGTCACAAGCAGCGTGGCCAGCAGACTGAGGGAGGGGATTCTGCTCCTCTGCTCTGCTCTGGTGAGACCCCACCTGCAGTGCTACATCCAGCTCTGGGGCTCCCAGTATAAGAAAGACCTGGACCTCTTCGAGTGGGTCCACAAGATGCTTAGGGGGCTGGAGCACCTCCCCTGTGAGGACAGGCTGAGAGAGTTGGGGTTGTTCAGTCTGGAGAAGAGAAGACTCCGGGGAGACCTTCTAGCGGCCTTCCAGTACCTAAAAGGGGCCAGAGGAAAGGTGGGGAGGGATTCTTGATCAGGAAGGGTAGTGGTAGGATGAGGGGTAACGGTTTCAAGCTGAAATGGGAGAGATTTAGATCAGATACTAGGAAAAAATTCTTCACTGTGAGGGTGGTGAGGCACTGGCACAGGTTGCCCAGAGCAGCTGTGGCTGCCCCCTCCCTGGCAGTGTTCAAGGCCAGGCTGGATGGGGCTTGGAGCAACCTGGTCTAGTGGGAGGTGTCCCTGCCCACGGCAGGGGGGTTGGAACAAGATGGTCTTTAAGGTCCCTTCCAACCCAAACTGTTCCTTGATTCTGTGACAGAGAGTTCTGGCCCCTGACAACTTACCTCTGTTCCATCTTGCATTCTTTGTGTCACCTACTTTATACAAATGTCCAAGCAGAGACTTCACTGTCTTAGATTTGCACTCAATGTTGAAAATGTTTTATGTAAAAATACCAAATGTCAAACTGTGAGTGATTTCTTTTTGTCTGAAGGGCAACTAACACAGGTTTACTTCTTTAATGAAGAATGGAAAGAATCTGTGGATTTAGCCGTCAGAGCTATGAAGTGCTCACAGCTTCCACTGATAATGCTAAGGGAACAATTTTAAGACCCTGGTGCTTGGTGGGATTTTTCTAGGACGTTATGTTCTTGGAGAGCATCACATAAGTGCAGCAGTAGCATTGTATTGTATTTTTAAGCTTTTTAGTTGGGTGCCTTTTCAGTTTCGAGCAAGCTGCGATAATCTCGATGCACAATCTAGTATTTTGGCAACAATGAAAAATATTTGGGGTAGTAAGGGAACTCCTGGAAAGCAAATATGTTGATTAAATATTCTTTCTTAAAAGTAACTTACATTTTGTTCATTTGTTTTTTCTTCAGATGTAAGCACCTCTGCATCATCATCTCTGCAAAGCAAAGCAAATATTTCCATGTTGGGAAATAGGAAGCTTTTTTTTGACACTCATGCGCTGGTGTGCCTCTTGGAAGAAAATGGTAATTTGCTAGAAATGGGTGGCTATTTTTAATGTCGTTTCATGAATGGTTTATAGTTTACAAAGTTTGTTACTTACTTCTCCTTGAGATGTGATGTTACAGCTTCAGTTTTATGGATTTTTATTTTTTTTAATTAGTGGGTAGGAACATGTAGGTTTTTACTACTTCCAAAAGGAAACAGCAAGCTTATATAACTTCAGTTGGAATAATTTATTATCCTACTGGTACTTAAAAATGCTAAAGAGAACTTAAATGTTAAGAACTGAGAGTAAAAACCTGAGTTTTCCAGGTAGTGGTTTAAAATGTATTAATTGGATTCCTACATATTTAGTATTTAGCACCTTGAATATGCAGCAGTGTATTAAAATAGGGCTGAATACAGACTGCTATGTAAAATGCAGGTAGAATATAGAATACTATGTAAAACATGTCTGTTCTTACACCGAAACATAGATGGAATAGATTATTTTGGATTCATGATAATGTTGCTGAGGTGGAGAAGGTACCTTAAAGGGAAGTTCAGCCCAACTGAATTGACTTCTGACAGCTCTCTGTCCCTGAAAAGGAGAGATCCTAGTCCCTTTCCCCTGCCCCCTGCTTTCATCTCTTTCCATGTGCCAACCTAATTCTCAGAAAACTCTCCAGCTCTTTTGCTTGATTGGTGTTTTGAGATGCTAATTTAATGAGTCCGCAGAGCAGTTGCATGAGCACCAGGACGCATCAAATGTGTCAGGAGGAGGGATAAGAAGCGAGGGAGGGAGGAGAGGTATCTCTTCCTTTTGGTGGTGGCAAACTATTGTACCAGCTCAGCTGCTGAACGCAGCTTGCTCTCAAACCCCGTACGTGCTTTCTGACACTTGACTGCCAGTTAGCTTGAGACAATCATGCTTTTGCAAGTGTTTCTTCTCATGGTGATTAAATCTTATTGGTGACACTTCCACATTTTGAAAGTGGAAAAGTTGAGCATATTTCTAAGTGGACAACGTTTTACAACAGGTCCCAATATATTTGGATTGAAAGGTTTCTAGTAGGGGCTCTGAGGCTTCTAGGCCTAAAACCAGGGCAGTCAGCTCTGACTTCAGTCGTTGAGTTCAGTGGTACCGAAGATTTATAGTGTCCTGAAAGTAAGTATCTGCTTTTCAGGGTCGGAATTCTTGCTTGTAGAGCTAACCACATGTGAGAGATGACATCCCATAACACTTCTGGAAAAATTCTAGTGTTTATCCTGCTGGTGCTTACTAGTGCTGTACTATAGGAGCGGCTATGCTATGTCACAGATGTAATTTTGGGGTGGGGGAACTTGGATGTCCTGACTGGTTGTGTTCTTTTGTTAGTGCTGGACCAAGAGGAGTATGTTTTGTTATCTTTCGTAACTGATGTTCGTTTTAACTTGGTGCCGAGTGGCATTTCTGTAAACTGTCCAGATTTAGATCTCTCTCTGAATGTTGTTGCATTTTGTTTTGCTTAGGGTTCACTACTCAGCAGTCGGAGGTCATTGTGTCTGCGTTAGTGAAAATTATGAACACCAACCTGGATGTGATTTACAAGGACATGGTCACTAAAGTACAGCAGGTTAGATCAGAGACAATGGTGGAGTTAAAGTAAATGGAAACCTAGTATGCCTGCTAATGAAATGTGTTGCTATTTATTACTGTTAGACACAGTATTTTAAAAGTTTGAAGGTGAGGAACAAACGCTCCTGTCTGTTGACTAGTGCATTTTGTCTTAAGTTTATCCAATACTTACCAAAGTGTTGGAGATGACCTTGAGATTTAGGTACTGAGTTGATACTCAAACCACAGGTAGTTTTTTGGTTTCAACCTTGTTGTAGCATGAAATAGAATTACTGAGAAGGTTTTTAGACAGACATAGGAGGTTTTCAGTGCATGGATTTGAACAGTTACAGCTCCTACATACATTCTTATGTAGACTTGTAACAAGGAAGTACAGATTCCCTCAGTGATTTACTGCCGTGTTTTGTGGTACCTTTTTATTTATCTCTTTGTGTCACAATGACATTTATGTTGGGTTAGAATTGAGCTGAATTTCTGTTTTTATATAAAGTTTTTAGGGCGTGATTGCTGTAGTTGTATACACTGATAAGATACAGGAACATGTATAGTTTAGATGCTGATATTGACATTATCTCCTTTCCCTTTGATGCATACATCGTTCATGGTGTCCTCTAAACCTACCCAGCATATGCATCTTGGTGAGAGGAAGTGAAGAAAACTTGTTTGGAAATAGACTGATAATGCTGAGTATCCACAGAGATCCTTCCTGGCTACCAGGAATCGCGGACAACTGAACTGAGTTGTTAGCTTTGACTTGTGAGGGAATGATTGTTTTACTGAATATTTGTCTGGAGGCAAGGCTTCTTGTCCTAATACTGGCTGTGATTTTTGGGGCCCTTTGTCGGGTCATACAAAGGTAGATCCATGTAAGGAATTGGACGTGACGGTGTTGACTATGGCCGTGGTGAGCTCTTAGGCATCTGGCTCCAGAAATGAAACTGCAATTCAGAGTAAGACATGATTCACTGCATGTGGAACTCAAACATCATTGAATGGGATTCACAATGTCTGATACTCTGGAGTTCCCTGACATGTAGGCTGGTCACACAGACAACGCTGACAAGAAACGTAGCTGAAGTACAACCTCTTGGGCTGCTCTGGGAGGCTGGGGTTCACGGCCCCAAGTCACCTTCTGAACATGGGCTTTAACTTATTTCATAGTGATAGGGCTGCTGTCTTAAAACACAAGAGAACAGCAGCTCCTGTCTCCTTAGTATGTAATAGTCATGGCAGTAGGGCTTCTCATGAAGAAGTGGAATATCTGGACTCTTGCACCACCTTCCATCTGAGGAGGCTTCAGCTCATCTTTCCTCCCTCCACCTCCCAGATGTGGTCGAGCTTCCTCCCCCTGTGCTGAACTTGTTCCACGGTCAATCACAGAATGCAGTGTTAAAGAGACCCTTGCTCCCATGGCTGGTTATATTTTACAATCAGCAGCCATTACATCTCTGCCTCCTTCTATGCCCAGCTTTTTTTGAATGAGACAGGTTTTCCTTTGTTGTCCTGATGGCAAATGTTTTCTGAGACGGTCTTGTAGGTTCCAACCTCAGGTGACTTTCTGTCATTACAATTGAAATGTGCAGGTGTGGACAGCATGAGATAGAAGCAGCTCAGGAGGTGTGTGTGCCGTGAACTCTGGGCAACATCATAGAACCTGTAGTTCCTTATAGTCGTTGAATGCATGAGAGCTTATGCAAAAAGAAAATGATGAGTTGGAAGAGGATTTGGAAAGCTGTGGATGAAGCTGTTGCCGTTAGACCCTAGTTGGGTGCATAACAGTCTGAACATTACACTGGTTAGATAAAGCCTTAGGGGGAAAAAAATATATGTGTGTATGTATGAAGAAGAGAAAGAATATGGAAGAGTCTGTTCTCTGTTTTACTCAGCTCAGTGAAGCGGGAAGAGAACAGAAGCAAGCTGGAGGCATCAGGGAGTAAGAGAGGAGGTGTCCATGGCAGTACTCTTCCTGTAGACGTTTTGTAACTTGTCTGGTACACGGAGCCATTTTTTTTCAGTGATGTGGTCAGGTAGCCTGGTGAGGTGTCTCCAGGTGCCACTTAGAAATACAATACTGGTAAGTTAGAATAATGTTTCCTGACAAAAGTGAAGTTAGGGTGCTGTGGCAGATTTGTAGGGTTCTTAGTCCAGAATCAAAATCAAGGCACTACTTATTAGGGGGAAGATCTTAAGAGAAGGGAAGGCGGTCCCTGTTTGCATGTGTAGGTAGTGTAGGGTCTAGAACAATGTCTACAGACTTTTCCATTCTTAAAAGCTGCAGAGAATTTCTTGTTTGTTTTGACAAGCAATTCTTGCTTGTCCCCCTTGCAGGGGGAGGTAAAAAAGGAGGTAATTGCAAAGGAGGATGGTTGCACTGAGAAGTTTTGGTCTGAAAGCCAGCTTCCTTCATTTAGCTTTGAGGTACCTCTTCTCTCCCTAATGGCTTTGCTAGCTTGAGAATTTGAAGACTTGGAAGAAACTATTTCGTAGGCTATTAACTGAATTATTCTGATCTGTGTTTGTATTGTTAATTTTGTCAAACATTACCGACGTTTGAGCCTAACTTGCTTATTCCATCACTGTCAATTTATCTTGCTTTCTGAAACTCAGAAAGTCCATCTGAAATTGCTGAATTAAAAAATTTCAGGGTACCAAAATTAGCCTATCAAATTTGTAGGCACAAATGAGAAAAAGCATTATCGTTATAATATGTTCTGAGGTTTTTCTTCCCTCTTTTCAAGGAAATTGCACTTCAGCAAGTAATGTCCCATATTGGTGGCGTAAAAAAGGACATGATTATTTTGGAAAAAAGTGAATTTTCAGCACTTTGTTCAGAAAATGAGGTAAAAATCACTATCTTGGAATGGGCTTATTTTTTTCTAGCGATGTAAAAGAGTCATCTTGTACCCAAGGGGTTGGCTCTGGGGCCAGTATGGTTTAACACCTGCATTAATGACCTTGTTGATGGGGCAGAGTGCACTCTCAGCAAGTCCACAGATGATACAGAGCTGGGGGCAGCAGCTGATAGACCAGGCAGTTGTGCTGCCCTTCAGAGGGACATCAACAAGCTGGGGAGATGTGCTGAACAGGAATCTCATGAAGTTGAACACATGGTAATGCTAAGTCCTGCCCCTGAGGACAAATAGCCCCACACATTAGGACAGGCTGGGGCTGACCAGCTGGAAGACAGTTTTGCAGAAGAGGACCTGAGGATCCCAATGGACACCAGGCTGACCACGAGCCAGCAATGAGCCTTTATGACAAAGAAGTCTAACAGCCTTGTGTGCTGTGTTAGATGGGCTGCCAGTGGGTCAAGGGAGGTGATCCTTCCCCTCTGCCTGGCACTGGTGAGACTTCATCTGCAGTGGTGGGTCCAGTTCTGGGCTTCCCAGTGCAAGAGATGTGGACATGCTGGACAGGGTCCAACAAATGGCCACAAAGATCAGTAAGGGACATCTGACATACAAGGAAAGACTGTGAGAGCTGGGACTGTTTAGCCTGGAGAGGAGAAGGCTCAGTGGGGATCTCATCAATGTACACAAATATTTGAAGGTATAAAGATGACAGAGACAGGCTCTTTCAGGTGTTGTCCTGTGACAGAACAAAAAGTAATTGGCACAGACCAAAATGTGGGAAATTCTGTTTAGACAGAAAACCCTTTTTGCTGTAGGGGTGGTAGAGCACTGGAGTGTAGGATACCCAGAGAGGCTGTGGAGTCCCTGTCCTGGAGGTACTCTAAACACGAGCACCATGCTCTAGTTGCCTGTGATTTTAGGAGGGGGTTGGACTGGATGATCTATACACATACTGGGGAGACAGGATTAAACCGCACTTGTTTTGCCTTCCTTTTCACATGCTGGATTATAGTCTTGTTAGTGGTCATGCAAATTCATTAGTATTTCTAGATTATGTGGTTTTATGTGCAATAATACAGTGTACAATTTTTTTTTTTTCTGTTCTTCCAGAAAATAAAACTCGAACTCCAGCAGATAAAGAAGCAAGTCATGGTAAGACACCATACCAGTATAATTAAGAATTAATGCCTGTCTGATTTGCTTTAAAAAAAAAAAAAAAAAAAAATTGATGTTTTCAAGGCGTTATTTTAAAAGCTTTGCTTAATTGTTGTGGTATATAGGATAACTGAAATGGCAGTTGATGGTACACTGTGGGCTCCAGCAAAGACAATTTCATGCATCCTTCATTTATGGTGACAGAGGACTGAATGGTAGAAGAGGTGAAGAAAAAATCAACTGAAGATTTTTTAATTTATTTTTTTACTTAATGTCCTTAATTCAGATTCAGAAGGTGTCTGCCATGTCATGGTTAAGGCTGAGTGCATTTAGGGCTGCCTGTTGCATGCGAAGATGCAACATACTTTTAAAATTCCAGCACTTACTAATTGGTTTGAGTTTTGGCTTGTGGTTTATTGTTTGTTTGTTTGTTTTTCTCTGAAAACTTCTCTGTTAGCTGACCAGAATTTAAAATAGCTTTTAAATGGCTTCTTTAGGCGATTAAGTTTGAGATGACTGTGTTTGGTCCCATTTGTTTGGGAGCAAACTACCATTGTATGAAAACAGACTCTCTGTAGAAAACTTACTATGTTAATAATCATACGGATTCGTATTCGTACCAGGTTTAAGCATCAGTGCTGTGTTTCTGTTCCTGAATAGCACTCCAAACACCCTTCTACCATCAAAACCAAGATTGTCTTAAAAGTCTCTTATTTCAGTGGCTGTGGAGTCGTAAGCAGCCTTTACACATGAACAATCTCGCAAGAGTGGTTAAGGTTGGAAATTGGGAAACATTAACAGTAAGGTCATCTCACTAGAGAAATGCTGTTTCCTGCTGTGGTGTCCTTCTTAGCT